ATGTGTGTATATATATATACATATATACCTATATATATACATACACGCATACAGGCATATGTATATGATTTCCAAAGTATCATATTGATCTAGAAAATTAAAAAATATAATGAGAAATCTAATAAAATTATATATAATTATAGATGATAAATCATAAAATATATACAATATATTCAAATATAACAAATTTAAATTACAAGAACATTTATAAATATATTATGTTGTTATCATAAATTATATTGTCAATTAAAACTAATTTTAAAAATTCATTATATTTGAAATAAATCACATATATTTAACGAATAAAATTTCTAATTTGTGCTCCAAGATAATTATAAATTATGTTAGCCGAAGCAATTTCTAATTTCTAATTTAATTTATAAGCAATTTTTAATTTCTAATATTATCATATAACAGCAATAATTATAAAAGTACGTAAAAATCTCAGAAAAATATTCAAGATATAATAAAAATTTTATATTTTTTATGGCAATTTTTTTAATAGTAATACAACTCTCATTAGTCTTTGTTTATTACATTATTGACAATTTCGAGTTACTTAATATTTATTAATTTTAAAGATATAATTTCGAAAAACTATAATGTATTAAAAACATGTAGGTTTTGTGAGAATCTCAAAACTTTCTCAGGTTTCTACGTACATTTTATTACATAATATTCTTAAAGCTGTCTCGTATTTCAATTAGTAATATAATATCCTTACGCTAAAAAATCTTTCCTTCCTATCATTCACTTATACAGTCAATGCCTATTTTTCATTTCACGAAAATCGATCGTCGATATCTATATATTAAAACCGTTTATTTATATAAAAGATTCAATGTGAGTATTCTTTGCCACTCAAAGTGGTACAAAGTAAGAATTTGTTATACTTGTTACTTAAATGATTATCTGTCACAGCCTAGATTTCAATAGATAAACCAAGACAACCCTTTCATAAAATATCCATATTGTGGTTGTCATAGGTGAAAAGAAGTGTTTTCTAGGCTGATAAGTGCTTAATTCATTACATAATTATTTAAAACAGGACGTTTAATGTTTTTTTTCTTGCGTAGGAGATGAATTATTACAAATTGTAGTCATCTATTTAAATATTAGTTGTACATTATCATAAATTCCAATCAATATTAATGTCAGCAAACATTACAAAGTAATTCTTTTTTTCTCTCTCCAGAGTAGAATATTCTGAAAGAGAGAATTCTGATAAAAATAATTTAAGAAATAATTAATAGAATTTTTATTGAGTCGATCACTTTGTAATTTTTGCTTAATGTTTAACGTCCCACCCGAAGATTAAAGTAAGATTACGCATAATACTTTTACAAATTCTACTCACCTTAGGTTAACGGGTAGTTCATTGATTAGCAGTTTCGAGTAAGTAAGCCTATCTTGTGATTGTAGTCTCCTCTCCGTTAAAAGACTCTTGATTAATTATATTCAGTTTCTAAATAAATATTATTAAGTACTGGAACGTGGAAGATTCTTGAAGATGGAAAAGGCTTTTTTTTTATTATCCATAATGATTCTTAAAGAATCAAATAGACAAAAAATTGCCAATATTACAAATAATTATTAAAAAAATACAGGCTCTTTGAATCACGAACATAATATTGCAGTTTTTACATTATAAAAAACGTAAGTCTTTCTCTTTCTTCACATCTATTATAAAAGATAGAAACTTCAGATGATTTATAATAATTGAATAATTATATAAATTCAGATTGTCACACATTAAAAAAAATTTAAAGCTCTGTTCTAGATATAGTACCTATTAGGAAATTTTTACATTAAAAAAATCACATAAAGTATTTTATCGATAATTTTCTACAGTATGCTTTAATTTGTATTTACTTTCGTAAAGCGTTTATTTGTCTTGTCTGTTAATAATAACTATTATAAACTGTAATTTTTCCCAGTTGTATAAAGTTATATAAAGTACAATAATATCACTTTTTTTAAAAGAGGAATAAATCATACAACATCCGAAGATGTTTAAAGAAACTTTTTTTGAGAATATCAATACATCAAACCTTTCCTATGTGTAGAAGATATAGAAAATCGTTGAACTGAAAGCAAAATCAAGATCATCAAATTTTGTGTAATATTTCAAGTAGTAAAAGCCGTAATCTGTAAATTCACAGGTTATAAATATATAATTTATACACCAACAACTGCGGGCTCACGATATTTTACTTGTATTAGATTTATATATTTTTGGAGAATAAATCAACAAATATTTTATTTTATTTCACAGAAGATGAATTATGTATGTAATTAATTTATAGAAGACAAAGTAATATTGATTAATATTAGAAATTAAGTTGATATATATAAGTTGGTAATTAAATACCTTTATTTTTTTACGCTGCTATAAATTAGGATTCTTTACAAAGTATTGGATATTATAGTTGTAAGTAGTACTGCATATGTATTATATATTGTATATATGATGTATAATAACTTATATACTAAGCTAATTACTGAAAATATTCAGAATTGTGATTATATCATAATTCTGTGATATAATTATACTCATCATACCTACTATAATATATTAATTTTTGAAATAATTCAAATATTGAAAATCTTGATTGAATTGAAAATGAAATTTCAATCATGACATTTTTGTTGTCGCTTATACATTGATTAGTTTTATAATTCAGGTAAAGAGTATAAGATAATAAGCAGGGAAAATGCAGTTTAGTTAATAAAAAAAATTAAATTATAACCTTTCAATGATAAATAATGGTAATAGTAAGGTTTTTATCAAAAAGAATAATTGAATAATACAAATTTAGAATAAATTTAATAAAGCAATAATAATCAGGCAAAAATATATTACGGAACAAAAAAGTATGCCGTTATGTCTCTTTATATTATTTACATTTCCCAAGATCTTTAAATAAATTGTAACTTCAAATCTTACTTCATAGTAAATGTATGCATCTCATATTTATGATACAAATGTAATATGAAAATCTAAATTACTGATAATTTTATCTAATACTTATGGACCATACTCTTCGTCCAAATTTATATATCGTAGATATAGAATACACATATTAACCCTTAAAAACCCCTCTCGGTGTAACACACCTAGTTTTCTTTTTTCAATGCTTTTCCAATGCTTTTTTCATTGCTTATAACTTTTTTATTAATATAGATACATACATTTACTTGGTACGTTATGTTCCTTAAAGTCTGACGTTACGATTAAAAAAAAAATTTTTAATTAGTACGTTCATTTTTATGAAAGTTATAAGCAATCCAATTGGGTTGAGTACGACATATGTGTCGTTTCCGTAGCTGGCGTTTAAGGGTTAATTATAAAGTAAGACTCAAATTTATAATTTTTAAACCATGATTCATGCCGGAAGTCAAACTGCGGAATAAATTGTGTCCAATCAAATAATCGGGTGTGCTAAATATTCCTTTTCAATTAATGATATTTTGCATGAATCTAAATATAGAAACAGCAATTTAAAGCAGATTTCTAAGACACATATTACACTAATAAGGGTCATTTCTTTAATAACATCAATATCATTATTGATATTCAATTGGAATACATGCTCGAGAAGAAATGTCATCTGGAGGACACAGAATCCGTCAAAGTATACAAAACATTATGTTTAAACTATAAGCCCAAATTCTCACGCATCGTCTATTCGCAAATCGAATCTCAAATTAGCATGTTAATGCCATCGATGTCCAACATCATACTTGAAAATATTTTCTCAACACTACTCCTTCCTCATTTCCTCGTTAGCAGATATAAGCATAGTAGAAGAGTACAGATGAAACAACCGCACATAAAGGAAAGTCAGAGCAATTAGCCAGCAAATCAAGGTCTGTCCTACATTCAATTCTGTCCAATCTAATTTTGCCCTATTGCCTTTTGCATTCTTAGGACAAATTCTGATTAGCTATAATCAAATCGGCTACTGTATATCCGTCAAGTTGTTTTACCTGTCTTCTTCTACCATGACCTATAAGGGTAAAGTAATATAAAAGTGAGGAATAAACGAAGGACATAGCACGATTATGTCAATCAAGAAAGTAAGACTTTGTATTGTGCATATTTAATATCGTCGACGTTTGGTGGGATAATCATCCGGGCGATTTCGGTCATTTCCTTGCCAACGTCCACTACCTCCGCTACCTCCACGACCACCACCCATATTTCCCATGTCAACCCTCATATCCATTAAATCCATTATTTGCCCACGATCATCATTATAACCCCCTCGACTACCGCGATCCATATTGTATGCATCCATAAATGACTTTGGGTCCTATAGAAATGCATAGAGAATGCGAATCGTATAGGGAAGTCGAGAGTTTGTTGTTAATCATTGATGAGAATGTCGTTCACATCAGAGGAACGCACGATACGCGTGTGCGCATGAATTGCGGATGTACCATAAGTACATTCCGTACGATTCAGGGCGACCATCCATGTTTGACAGCAGCACAGGTCATCGTCAATTTTCGTCAAATCACATAGAAAAGAAAGGGGAAAACACAATGTTAGATTGCTGTTTGCGTATCAATAGTAGTGCAAACTGCACATTAAATACTGTTCTTATTAATATATCCCTTTTATAGCGGATATGTTCTGTGACAATAATCAGACCAAGAAAATGCCCAATGTAGACAGACAATATTTTTGTTATATATGACTGGGCTGTGTTCCAAAATTGAGTAGTACTGAAAATCTATAATGTAAACTATAGATTTTCAGTGCTGGCAGTAAATTTGGAACATAGCTCACATCGATGTGTTGTTTACGCGAAATTTTATAATTGTATCGCACACATATTACTTCCCTTAATCATTCTTCAACTCAAAAATAAAAGCTTGAAAATTGCATTTCAAACATTAAATATAATCGCAGAGTATTATACTCCATATCATGAAATTGAACTCCAAATTAGAGTTGAAGTACAATTAAGATAAATTCATATAGGAATCGTTGCTATTTTGACACATATAATAATACCAATATAATATACATACAAGGTGTCCCACGTAACTATGATCACAATTTTTCCGGCACTTCCGATGATTTAACAAAAATTACTTCAAATAAAAGTTAGTCAGTTTTCAATCTGCTACAACTTGCATTATTAAAAATTTACAAAATATTCTTTTTTAGAAAAAAAGTCAAGATCATTCTAACTTTTTTAAATGGCACAATGTATTTTTTACTTCATAATATTGTAACTGATATGAATTCAATGACCTGCTATACTATGATCTTAAAATGACTTAAAAGTCAGACTGTGGGATCAATAAACGGAAATGTTTTCGTAAAAAATTATTTTATTTGTATTAAATTTTATATAGATTAAAATTTATATAGATTTATTTAATTTTATATAGACATATTCTACAGCAGAAAAAAATTTTTGTGTTAGCAGCATATTAACTTTCTCATTATAGGAATAATTTTTAAAATTGAGACTGAACTACGATTTACTCTAATGACAAACTAAGATTGAACGCAAGATCGTAACAGCGTTCAAGCTATGTTACAAGTACTACAAGTTGATATTTTTTTCTATGTACTACGTACATACACGTGTGTAATAAACTGTGAACTACATTCGGGAATATCACAAATTTAGCAATGGCTACATCGGTTCCTCAATTTGTTCTACAGGTATATTTTTTCTACTGAACAATGTAATAAAAAACATGTAAAGTTTAATACAAAATAATTTTTTATGAAAACATTTCCGTTCATGTTACGTTGTACCATTTAAAAAAAATTAGGATAATCTTGACTTTTTTCCTAAAAAATATTTTTTTCCTAAGAATATTTTGCAAATTTTTAATTAATTTTTAAATTGCAATTTGTAGTCGATTGAAAACTAACTTTTATTCAAAATAATTTTTTTCAAATCATCGGAAATGCTGGAAAAATCGTGATCACAATTACGTGGGATTTTATATATATTATATGAAGAGCAGAATTCCAAAATGCATTTTGTCCGAAATTTCATTTTTTTAGTTAGAGATAGCATAATGTTCAGTGTTGAAAGATTCATAAGCTACCTACTCTGAGATGTTCAGAAAGCATTTTTTCATCGTTAATATGCTGAAAAAATATAGACATTTCAAAATGTATTGTTTTTTAACTAGAGACAAGCAAAACACATTTGTTGTACATTTTTAGCAATCGTTTAGAAATTTTGTTTAATATTTCACATCCTACTGATTGGCATTGTTATTTTCTGTAAAGTGCATAATTTTCTTGTATGCGGAGTTCTTTCTTTTTCGTTTTCTGAAAATTACAAATTTTGAACAAAACGCATTTTGAAAGTCTGCTCCTCATACACACACACACACGCGCGCGCGCGCACACACACACACACACACACACACATATATTGGATATATTATAATGTGAAAGTAAGAATGAAAAATTCATTTTATTTTGTATATCACACAATGAATCAATAGAAATTGTCGATGTTTCAATTTGCATGTAGATGTAACCCAGTACAAACACGTACGCCTATATATTCTATATAATGTGTTGACCTAAATAGAATTTTTTCTAAATTTCCCAATCCCAATAGAGTGTGTATATAATTATTAGTCATACAATTATGCATTCAGTAGAAATTACGAGTGCGAGTTTACTTCGTGAATGATCAGAGTGATGAGATCCTAGTATAGAGTTACATATAAAACAAATACTTCTGAATAAAAACGGTTAAACCATTTTATCGTATAACAAATCAGTTTTGCACATTAGAAAAAAACCGTCAAAGACCATTGCTTAATAGTAAAGAACTGATACTAAGCACACAATTTTGAAACATCGAGCACAAACGTAAGCAGCAAAGAGGCGTGATCAAGGTCTCGAAGCAAGCTCTATTGTGCTCGTAATGTTTCAAATGTATCATATATATATATTGTAAATAAGTATGCATAAAATATTCCTACAATGAGCATATATAAACATATGCATTTAGCAACATTAGCATTAGCAATCCATAAACAACGCTTCAAGTATCAAGAGATATAATCGTTCAAGTTCACAAGTTTCGATTAATAAACATAAGATTCAAATGTTACTGGCTAAAAATTCTGCAAAAATATATGCATGTCTTTGGAAATATTTCTTTGAAAATATTCTTATAAATAATAGTTTAATATTTTAATGTATAGTTATTTAAAAAAAAAAGTCTAATTGGGCACTTCTTGGTCAATAGAATTACTATGGAATCATATCATTTCGTAAAGCTTTTTTGCTAGATTCTTTTTCATATTTTATTACAAAAAGCACCATGATACCAAATTGAATACCGAATTAAATGTACGTGTGTCAATGTTCCCATAGTAAATAAAATTATTCTTAAGGCTACAATAGAATATGTCAGAGTCTCCTGTCTGCAATCATGTGGAGAGACCAATATGGCAATTACATTTGTAGATGTAAATAATTATTTTCGGAGACATAAAAAATTTAGATTTGTAATATATATTTAATAATAATAATTGTTATATATATTACAATCCAAGAGCCAAGTGTGGCATGATCGTACAAGTCAATTTCGAAAAATCAAGAATATTACATTATAATAAATTATTATCTATTTATAATTTCTAATACATATATATGTCGCAGTCGAAGTGTTAACTCGATAATGTATGCACTTATTGTAGTCTGATGTA